GCTGGGAGGCACGCAATGGTTTTGCAAAGATTCCGCGTGACTTGGAAGGGGAGTGGCTGGACGGCGGGAACTTTAGCTGACGCGCCACTGACGCGGACCTATCGCGAAACTGTCGCGGATTTCGGAATCATACAAACAACCATGATTTCAGCAAGGTCTCCCACACGAATGATTTGGATTTAGAAGGCCTCCGCTGACAAGTCGGAGGGCTTCCCACACTAACAACTTGGATTGTCTAAGGGCGCTTCATACAAAAAGCCATGACTTGCATGGGGTTTCCCATGCTTACCAATGACTCGGATTTTGCCAAGGGTGCCTCATACAAAAAGCACTTATTTGCAAGGGGTTTCCCATACTAATTACTTGTTGGTGATGGCAGATATGGCGGCAAAGCTAGACGGACCTTTTTACCACAACACGCGAAGACCAAAAGGAGAACATTTTTTCTTGAAAAACTGTACACTACCTAACTAGCTGTACAATGCTGCATTACTGGTTGAAAAGTTGGAGGTACTCAGAATATAACTCAAAGCAACCTCCTAATCCAAAATGGGCAAGGCGCAATACTGTCAAACAACGTTCATGCTGCAGCACTCCCCCCGGTTCTGTATCTCTACAGAACGCACAGGACTTATCTGTCTTTGTCCTTCCAGTACAGCAACCCTAGATTATAACTTAAACCTCGGCTTTAACGCCACGCGCTAACCTCTGCACGCGCTATCCATTTTGCGCAAGGACATCTGGATACAAAATTTTGTGCAGGATTTGTGGCATTGGGACTTGTTCGTCACCACAGTGTGCGCACGGTCGACGAGAGAGTAACCCTCCATCGGTTCGGTTACGAGCGCATGTTGGACTAGCGTGCCACACTGTCCTTCCAGGACAGAGGTAAATGGTACCTACGGCATTGGCAGTCGGTCTCCAATTTCTTATGGCTTGGAGGTCATGGTTTTCTTTCCAATAGTACCTTGTAGAGCACGGATTGTCTGAGCTTGTTGGGTTCGAGTATGTAGTAACTCGTCCAACTGTGGGTCTTCTGATCCCTCCGTCTGGGAACCAACAGACACTACCTCCTTTTTGACCTGAACTGCAGCGCTCGCTCTTGGTACTGCGCCAGGCTCACTCGTGCTACTGGAGGTTACTGGAGTTGCGCCTGCATTCCTCGGTATCAAGGTCTTGAGCCTTTGCAGGCACATACCAAGGTGATAATGCAGCCCATTAAGTACCAATTATCAGACTGTTCGGAGACCTCTTGTGGACTTTCATTCAGACTGGCTAAGCATGGTCTACAGAGGCATGACATTGCTAACAACTGTCTCATCATACCCCTTGGCCACCTAACACGACTAGTCGTCCAAATGAACGAGCTCTTGGCTAGAGCGTTCTGACCTTCGGATCCACAGTATGCCCAAAAACTAAGGCATATGATACCCGCCACCAACCATTGGGTGCCCAGATAACTAAGCTCCAGGGCCCGACTAGAATTAAGGTGGTTGGAGTCGGTCTTGGCCGGGGCCATTTGCGAGAGAAGCAATAGCGCAATTAGAACTTTGGTTGCTGCTGGGGGCGTACTTACTGCTGCCACTGATGGACGTGGGGATCATTGCAAGCCTCCATATGAGGTGTATAGAGATCCATCGCTCGCATCAAATCTGCCAGTCGTTGTGGTCCTACTGCTTTCGCGGCGACAAATAGCCCAGGTAGTGGGTGGCCCTCCAATCATCACTCTCAAGAGCTTCTCTGCTCGGAGGCGAATATTTCTTGTTTGCCAGGAACCTGACTCTACTTACTCTAGTTGACATAACTGAAGAGTGGCCGTGTTATCAGTATACAGCCCTTTTCTCAATGAGCTCTTAGCACTTCCGAGCTGACGGAAGGCTGCAATGAGAGGTTCCATGGCTCTTGCTAACACACATGCTTTGGTGAGAGACAGAAGCTCGGCTTCCGCTGCACTGGCTGTCGCAAACGGCTGCCTGCCTCCACACCAGGAGACTAGGCTTCCCGCCCAAAAAATTTGAGCTGCTCCGATACTCCTACCACCAGTAGGAGCAAAGGACGCGTCACTTACTGATTATTCCATAGACTTGTCGCGCATCCAGGTAAGCTCTTCCCACTTACCAAAATTACCAGGAGCCAAATCGTACTTGAGCCCAACTTTGGATGACCAACGGAGGTACCTTATTAGTACTTCAGCCCTTCTACACGCCTCCATTGGGTTGACTGATGACCATTGTTGAATACTGAAGGTCTGGCCTAGTTCGACCCACTGACCATTGAAGCTCTCCAGCTGCAGTTTGCGCTGCTCTGAGATGGTCTTCAATGGTTTCAGGATCTTCTGGCGACTCTGGCCATGGGACCTTCAGCGCCGGTACTTTAGAAGTACCCTCGACATGCTGATATCTACTCAGCACTTCAACAACAAAGTTCTCTTGACGGAGGATGATTGCAGTACCCTCTTGTCTAATTTCAAAACCATGAAAAGCTAGACCTTCCTGGTGTAACCACTGAGGCTTTGTTGTTTTCCACTGTCGGCTCAATGCACTAACGATTAAATTGGCATACTCACCTTGACCCGTAATCAAAATGTCATCCACGCACAGGCCAATGGCTCCTATTACTGTCTCGTCCGAGTCTTGGAGAACGACTTTCCAGACATTTGCGTCTTCAGCCATCTGAACAAACTTGGCGGGGACTCCGCCTTCAAGCTGCTCTAACTTGTTGATTAAGGCAGCAAACTGCTCTGGAGACACTTCTTTTGACTCGGGAACAGCCGACTGCTCATTTACCAAATGAGCCGCGTTCTCCTGAGCTTTAAACTCAGGATTTACCTGCTTCTTAACTGCAGGTGTCAGCTGTTCTACTTGCCGGAGAGACTTATTTCTACTAAGACTCCACGACCTTGGAGACACATCAAGGCCGTACAGAGCTTTATGTACTCTCCAATATTTTTCTTTAACGCCGATTATCCTACTGCGCGAACTTTTACTACTATCACTTCCTTATTAGGAATGACAATATCAGCATTAAGAAAGGCTGTCATATAACTTGTTGCGTTGCGACTCCCCACTGACGGAGGGCTGCGTTGCGCAGCAGCAGTCTAAAACTGCGCGCGTCTATCCCTCCAGAGAACGTATCCAAGTTTGGTTCTCTTCTCACCATGTTGGTAATTACCGCCGCAACCAACTCCTCTGGTTTTGAGACGGCCCGTGTAAGCCTCTATTGAATGAACAGGAATGGGCTCAACTACATGAGTCTTACAGAGCTCCTGGAAGCCTTCCTCACTCAACGGCTCAACCGGCTCTGCTTTACTGACTAGAGACTCATACTCGGTTTCAATTGATGGTCTCCTTTTTTCACTCTTGGCTTTGACCTACTCCAGAGGGCTTGCGCGGGTTTGAAGAGGAACCTCTGCGTTCTCCTCTGTTGCTTCTACGCTGGCGACCTTGGGACCTTCACTGGATCCCTCTACTTCAACATTCCATTCCTCTAGAAGAACTGTATTGCGGGGGACTGTGGGAGAGGATCAATGGGCGTCATGCTTTTGACTGCGCGTGGCCCCCGCTTTCCCACACACCCAGCTGACTTTATAACTCATCCGCCTGCTCCTCACAA